CGCTGAGCGCACCTGGGAGAGGAAGAGAAACACCCAACCTTTTTCCAAAGTTAACTATTTAGAGTATTTTCTTCCTTAACAATTCCAAGACCCCGTTACTGCAGCAGAATGAAAACAAGATAGTAGCTACAGTAACACAAGTGATAAAATCATACCTGCTAAAATATATTATAGGCCTATATCAAGATGAAAACTGAAATCAACTAGGAGATAGTGTATATAAGATTTTTCGGAATCAGTATAGGCATTTGATGAAGATTGCATTGGATTTGATGCTGTGATGTGACACACCCTTGTAGTAGTGCTGTGCTAAATGAAGTGTTGATGTCTGACATGATTGATTCTGGTAAAGAAGGCCTTTGTTTTAAATGTGGGTGATAACAATTAGCCTACTGTAAATAATGCATTTCCTTTGTCACTTTTCTTATTACATGTAGATTGATCTATTTATTAGTTGAAGATGCCACGGGGGTCAACTACAACCACCTGCGTGGGCTGTGGAGCAGCTATTGGTGTTGCCACAAAGAAGTGCAAGTACTGCCAGTCAGATCAGCCGAGGAAGCAAAGACTGGCCAAAAAACTGCAGAAATTTGATGCAAAAAAGGAGACATGGTTAAAAAACCAAAAGAAAAATCAAACCACCACACATGTTTTGGATGAGGCATCTGTCTTGGTACGTGAAATTCAGCAATTTGTTTTCTCTCAAGAGTTGTCTTACTGAACTGCTGTAGCTATTATTTACGCAATTACTGTCCACAATGTTTCAGACATTTATAATTGTTTAGTAGAGATTCACCAATCAAGTTTTTCCGATCCAAACTGATACCGATACCTGAGCTGAGAGTATCGGCTGATCCCAATCCGATACTGTCAAATGAATAAAGCGTATACCTTTGGATTTCATAACATAAACATTTATCCCTGTTAAAAAAGGTAACAAATTAACACAGATATAAATGTAGTTAGTATTTTCTGTAAAGAAAGAAAGAGTACATGAGGACCAAAAAGAAGAAAATAACACTTCTCTGCTCTGAATGATGATGTAAACGGCATTGCAAAAATAAAATTGATGTGACTAGTTCCTTGGAACCAGGGCTGGGCGATATAGAAAAAAAGCTTATCGATAAAAAAAAATGCATATTGATCGATATCGATGATTATTGAAAAGAATTGAAACCATACTGTATGTGCAGCTCTGCCTGGACATTTTATGATATTGCTAAATGATTTCATTTTAATAAAGAACACAAACACAGACTTCCAATTAAGTTATGTTATTAAATACTGACAAGGAATAAACTAAAGTGACCAGAAAATTGACCAAAATAAATATGACAAATATGACAGCCTCAAAAATGCACCAAATTACATACGTAACCGATGCAGATAACGGAAGAAACTGTCCACAAGTGTCTTCTGTGTCGAGCATAAGTGGGCCTTTTGTCAGAATCAGAGCCAATATCCGATCCAGGTACCGATTTGGTGCATCTCTCTCGTTTAGGATATTTTTCTGTATACATTGTATAATATAGATCTTTATTTTCAGGTTGAAAAGTTAAACACTCTTGGATATAAGGCAACTGTCTTCATTGCCAAGAAAAATAAGGCAAGCACCTGGTCTGCACAAGTCCTGCATCCAAGGTGGCATCTGACAGACCAGAGTGACAAATGCCTTGAAAGGATGAAGGATCTCTATCAAGTTTTCATTCGTGGTAAGTGAGTGTGATTATTTGAAATGTTATTCCATAGTCATACAAAGAAATGTGGCATAGAGACAACATTTACAGTCATAAATGTTCTTTTTCCTGCTGTCACTAGGCAAAGTGCAGTGGGACAAAAAAATAGCAATTCCCCTGTTGCTTCATGAAATTTGGCCTTTGCTGTTTCTTTTAGTTATTAATTGATATTTAAGATGAATAATCAATTATAATATTAATCACCAACTATTTTACACATGATTATACTGTATATTTCTACATCATATTTGACTTAAAGGTAGAGTGCAAATTCCCTCCAGAGTTTCTGTTTGCGAACAACAATATTCAAACTTAGCGCTCCTCCCTCTCAGGCTAATGGCCGCCTTGTTCTAGCTAGCCTGTTCAACTTCAAGCTTCTCCTTCAGAGCTCAGAAGCGGGTACAAGCCAAACATTAACCCTGGTTTTCCAAAGTGCATTATCTGAAGCTCTTACCTTTTCTGCGGTGCATCCACTGTGTTTTTTTTCGTTCATTTTTTTTTCCTTCGAGAGTTCGAGAGACTGGTGTCTGCTCCAATCATGAGCTTATTTCTACACAGCGTCATGCTCTTAGCATTGTCATTGGCTGCCGATATAAACATAAACCTCCACCTAGAATCATCCCGACCAGACCAAAACAATACTACAGAGTGAATTACAGGCAGAGGGAGAGGGAGTTGCGTACAAATTCACCACAGCATGGGAGTAGAGGCCCAAAGGCGGGGTTTAAAGGAACAGTACACCCAAAACATGATTAGCCTTCGTTTTCTACTCACCCCCATGCTGAACAACACTCTGGAGTACTTTTTTGATATCTCAAATGCATCTGGAGATCTGGGAGGCTTCT